GTATTATACGTGAATAAATATGGTAATTATTTTAAGTGGATCTACAGTATATATCATAACTGTTACTGTGGATTAATAACATGCTAAAAATACAGATGAGTATTTTGCCTGTTTCTCCAAACTGAGGGTTTTCAAAAAGCTATCTACAACAGGTRTTTATTGTATATAATYKCTCCAATGAAACCCAYTTCAAMAGATCTAAACCATCCTTTAAACATTTTTATTACTTTAATCTYGATACATTACAGAATATATAACATTACAATAGAATGCATCAGTTAAAACAGCACATGAACGAAACTCAGTTTCATCCCAAGGTGACCAAAAACAGTTGATCTTCTTAAGATGGAGTTCCACAAGCTTGAATGAATGAATGATCTCCAACATTGTCTTTGTTCTGCAGCCCTCTGAACCTGCAGGGTTCCATCCGCCACTCCTCCTCCTCCCTGTCCTCTCACACATCGAGTGAGGCCGGGAACCTCGTCATAATGACCGACGGGCTGATGGGCGAGCACCCCGAGGAGGCGTTACACATGCAGGTACGACTCCCACATGCTGCCATAAACCCATCTAAATTAGTGACAAATAAAAATCTCCATTTACTTAAATAAAAGTTTTGAATTTTGGAATCTGACCTGTTTTCCAGCCAAGCCCATCCTCCTCCAGTTTGAGCTCAATCCGMTCTAATTCTTCTCAGATTATCAACTCTGCTCCATCAAGTGCCAGAGGTAAGAAWCACATTCAATTCAGGCATGTTTACTGACGAAACTCACTCAGTTTAGAATTTTTTTCACCTCTGATCAGTTATTAGCCACATAATAGTAATTCCCTTAAGATAATATTAGTAGAAGACAAAATGGGTTTTACAAACATAGAAGTTGTTTATGTCTTTGATTTGATCTTTCTCCCAGGCTCGCCGTCTTTGCCTGATAAGGCCAAACACAACAGAGAAGTGATGATGCTTTTGCCGTCTCACCGCGAGAGAGCCAACAACATGTACTACAACATGGCAGAGAACGGACAGGTTCGGCCGATCGACAGYGCCGTGACAATGTGTGGAAAGAATCGGTAGCAAAATGWAAAAATCAGTCAARTGACAGAAATGTTTCTTTCCTTTTTAGCAGAATAACCACATGCAGCGTGCCTTACCTCAGCAAGTTAGCCCCTGTAAGCCTTGTGCAGATGTCCATATGACTCTACCAGAGAAGGGTAACCTTGAAAGAATGCCACATCTCAATATGTGCACTAAAAGAAACATTTGGGATGTGYTCATGCGGGATGTCATTTGGTTTGCTGTTCCAGTGTTTCCCAATGCTTCCAGCAGCTGGAGTCTTGATGGAGAAAACAGGGAACAGATGTCCTACATGTCAGCTTCTACTGGAGGCGTCATTATGCCTCCCGTGCCTCCCAGGTCCTTCCCGTCAGGTACGTTACTGTCTCACCTCACCTTATGTCTCATTTACCTTCTGCAGATCTGTCTGATGGTTTTAATACATTTTTTGTTTGTTTTTTTCAGGACATTTTATGATGCATTGTGATGCATTTCACCACCAGAACAGTGACCCTCCTCCTACTTTGCCTGTTCGATCTCTCCGAAAGGTACATCATTGTGTATACAACATGGTAGTACTGGACAGTTTAATGACAGCAATTATTAAGTTTAAATAAAACAAACAAAACACCTTGTAAGCAGTGGTGGGCAGCACTAATCTAAAAATTAGTTCCACTAGCCCTAAAACACTAACTCAAATATTTAGGTCCCCTAATTCTAAAGCACTAGCGCACTGTAAGTTTTAGCAAAAGCTAATTCTAAAGCACTAAAATAACCCTGTCAACCCATAAACGTTTTTCAACAGACAACATGACCCCGGATTTACACTACATGCGACTCGGCTCAGCTCAGCTCGGCTCCGCTGCACTGCGCAGTTCTCAGCTGTTCGTTTGCACCCCAATTTATACAGCTCCACTCCGGTGCGACACAGAGGAGGGAGTGTGTGCAAGAAGGAGATTGCATGATAAATCCAGTGATAAATGTGGGATTTAGAGCAAAAATCATTAATTCTGTGAATGACGAACTCCAAGCTGAAAACATAGACATAAAGGCTTTTGATATCTATGGTTGAAACTGTATGGCTGTCATCTTTTTGAGATTTCTGATTTCAAAATAAAAAAGTGTATCATGTGTGTACAGATATGCATCATGCTACATGTTGCCATCTGCTTCCCAAACAGAACGGTACATTCTGACAGCATTTGTGTAGAAATATATCCATATATTGATTAATATTATATTGATTAATATAGGAGGGAATTTCGACAAAACAATTTCTCCTTATGGTGTCTTATTTTGAAAATACGGAAGTTGTGCTTGTTCCTTTTCCTGTTGGTGCGATGTGATCTCTCTTGATTGACTCCAGAGCAGCTCCATCATCCGGCAAAAATAGGATCGGTTCTAGTTTTGGCGGCTCGCCGTCCGCTCACTGCTGCCCTGCACCGCCGTGCGGAGCCAGTGTAAACACTCTCATGGATTATAATGGTTGCGTATTTGCTGCGGAGGTCAGACCGGACTGGAGTGGAGACGCATGTAGTGTAAATTAGGGGTCAGTCACATATTGCCATGTTGCTCTCTTCAGACTTATCATTGACATTCTATAGCCATATTTGGGCTCATATATTTTCACCTAGTGGATAAGTGACACACATATGAACAAAATGTGTGACAGCTTTCACCATCAGCTGTTAGCATTAATGTTGATATTTATAGACCTTAGTTAGTACGTCTAAATTTAGCCTATAAATTTAGCAAGTGCTAATCCATTAATAACTTTTAAAATTAGCAAAATTCAAATTCAAAAATACTTTATTGATCCCAGAGGGAAATTAGGTTAAAAGCCCTAAAGCACTGATCAGGAAATTAGTTCCCCTATAAGTGCTTTAGTGCTTTAGGGGAACTGTGCCCACCACTGCTTGTAAGGTAGTTTTCACAGTTGAATAACTTATTTCAGGTTATTTTGCACACCTTTTGGATCAGTGTTAGAATACTGCACCACTGCATATTCATAAATATGTATTTGGGCATTTGTTTAGTTTTTTGATATACTGGTGTTCAAAAGCCTAGTGTCATCCCTCATTTCATTGTATTTTGTATTTTGCTTCTATTCAGCCAGACTTTCTTTTAATCTTTTAAAGCACTCTTTTTATCCTTGTTCTGATTTTCTAAAGGTTTTTCAAATAAATGTTTTTAGACTTTGGCTGCTGATTTCTAGTCAGTATCTAACCAGTTTCACAAGATTTCAGCTCTGACCTTTGAATCATTCAAGCATAAAAAACACTCCTAAGCTTAAGTTATTAACCAGTGTTGTGTCGACACATGACCGATCAACAACTTGGCAAAAAAACAATTTCCTTTTGATGCTTTAAAAGCACTTTGTTACCAGTAGTTGGTCTCAAAGACAGGCATTGTTCCAACATTTTTAGTTGAATCTATAAAAAGACCAGCTATAACACAGATCGACAATCAAGGAACAGCACCAACAAAGTTTTTCCCAAAGAGCTGTCAGCTGACAACTCACAATACAGGAGATTATTAACAAAAAAGAAAAAGAAAATGATGCATGTTTCAGGTTGTCAATAATTTTTTCAGGTTTGTAGTTATTTATAGATATTATTCATCTACTGTAGGTAGTTTTGGGATCTGAACCTTCATCTTTTATTTTTCATTTATCTCCATTGCTTTTTTAAGCACATACGGCACAGTATGTGGTATACTCTTATGACCTAGACCGTGGTTTTCAAACATTTTAACTTACGGCCCATTAAATAACAGCTGCAGAAACTTGTGAACCCAGATATTACTTGTATGCAAACATTGCTAATCACTCTCTTAAACATGGGCATAATAACAATATAAAAACAAACTTAAGAACTATGATACTACTGTTATTCATTTATATAATACAGTGCAATACAATACAATACAACACAATACAATACAATACAGTACAATACAGTACGATACAACAATACAATACATTTTCATTTATAAAAGACTTGAAAAACAACACTGTTGGCCAAAATACTGTACACTGATAAAAACACATAAAAGCAAATAAAAAATACAATAAACTCAGTAAAACTAATCAACAAAATCATAAAAAAATTATAATAAAAAACATTAAAAGCAACATCTCAAGATGAGTTAAAAGTCAAAGAAAAAATGTATTTTAAGCACAGATTTGAAAACAGCAAGGGAGTCTGATTATTAATATGGTGAAAATATTTAATTAACAATTTATTTGCATTTAAATTGATGTTTGAAAATCATCTTGGGACCCTCACTTGATGTTTCATGGCCCACAAGTCCCAACCTTAACTTTGGGAACCACTGTTCGAGACAATCAAAGAACAACTTTGAAAAACCTTTAAAAAGCCTGTAGAACCAATGATTAAGATCACTTCCAAACATTATAAGAACGTCTGACTCTAATATGTGCAGTGCTCTAATTCTAAATTTCTTTAGTAGGTTTACATACACTGACACAATGCACACTGACACGTGTGAAGACATTGCTGTAATTTAAACAGTTGATACAGATAACCTCCTCAGTGAAAGCTGCTGTCTTTGTCTCTGCAGTCTCCTCTCCACCCGATCCCTGGCTCCCCCACCAGTCCTCAGTCGGCTCTGGGTGGCAGTAACTCCACTCTGTCAGGCAGCGCCAGCAGTGGCGTCTCCTCTCTGAGCGAGAGTAACTTTGGAGGTCAGTATCCTGATCCTGGTCCCATCAGGAACGACGCCTTGGAGCCTCTTCCCAGTCACCTGTGGTCCCCACCTGATGAGTACCTGGCCTCTCCTTACCTGCACATGCACTACGGTGGACCGGAAATCGACTCCATGGACCCGGTTCGGCCCTTCCATTACCGCAACCCGTCATCCCACCCGCACACCCACACGCACCCTCACGCTCACACCCACTCTGGGCTTGACAGCCACACTCATGGGCCTCCCCCCCACCACCACATTCCTACTCACGGCCCTCACCACATCTCCTACCGCCGGTCCCAGCCTCCGGCCGTGCCCCCCAAACCCTACCTGAGGGAGGGCTGCATCCCCGAGGAAGAGCTGACGCCCCAGCCCATCCCGCTGCCYCGCAGGATCTTCCACTCCCCCCACGGCCACAGAGAGGATGCGGGTAAACACGCCTGGGAGCAGTGCATCAGCGAGGAGCACGAGGAGAATCAGTGACGGGGGGGAGAAACGCTGCGAAGCTACAGCCTGAGGTCCGGCAACCGTCACCGCTCCGCGTGTGGTTTAAAAAAAATCTTTGTTGAACAACGAGATTGATCAAAAGTTGATATTGATTGTACACAACTGTACAACTTGTCTGTGAGCATGTTTTTTTTCTTCCCCCATTTGAAAATAATATGAGAAGTGTTGTGGAACTGTTTAACCATGATCATAGCCAACACGATCCCAGGCGCAATCTCAGCTCTGAACTCTCTTCTTGTTGCTTTTCATGTCGTTTTCACAAACAAAGAAACTGCGGAAGGTCGTTGCTCACAGTCAAGTGACTTCTCTTGTTGAAATGCTTCATATATACGAATAGTTATTTTGATAAATTTGCTACATTCTAGTATTTTCAAAATGCTTGAGCCCATTCCGTTTTTTCAAAAACACTGTTAAGTGCTCCTTAATAGTGAATCATATCAAATGGCGCACTGTAATATGTGTTGCTGCTGGGCTGTCATCAATCGCAGGTCTGTAAGTTTGAACTTGCAGCTCTCCCCTCGGACATGAAGCGTCTGGAACTCTTTACCATTTGTACCACGTGTATGGACGCCTACGTGWATGTATTCAGATGAGATAGTCTAACCCGTGCTGCACAAACTGCAAATCCCAGTTTTTTTTTTTTGTTGAAGTGCTTTACAGTCTCCACGTGTCCGTTTGATGTGGTGAAGATGTCTTGAGGAATGAGAGTGTAGACTGGATGGAAGGAGGAGGGGATGAGTTCAGGACACAAACATGTCCCACACTTTGTCAGCTTTCACAGTGAATGAAGAACATTACAAAAAAAAAAACTTCTTCGCTTCACACCTCAACCCACTGCTGGACTCTCAAAACCAATGCCGCTGCTTCTATCTTGGTTTCTCTCTCTTTTTCTCTCTCCATCTTTTTTTTTTTTACTTCTCTGTGTGGCGTCAGGTCAGCAGCGTGGGCCGAACCTGGACAGCTGCAGCGGCGCTCGCTTGTACCCGATGACTCCGCTTGCAGAGCCCACACAGACGGGGTTGMAGTCGCCTACCTGCCTTAAGTGCACTCGAATGCAGTTTGACCTCTCATCTGGACTCCCATTCAGCCATTTCCACTCTGACTACTGAGGGGAAAGAAAAAAAAAGTCTACCTAATGATGTTTTTATATGGTTTCATCCTGCTTTGTCATTTTGGAGATTAATATTTCCCTTTCTTGCTCACCTTCTGTTGTTTGAAACTGATGATGTGTTTTAGGAGAACGCTGAAGGACGAACAGACAGAAAACAGAGAGGTTTATCGTTTTATTTTTATTTGTGGAGTAGAGAAAACAGCGCTGGAAGGATATAGCTAATATTTTAACACTTACTTGTTTTCCTTTATTTTTTGGGGTGGCAGGTGGAAGCTTTGTGTTGCTGTGCATCAAGTTGTCAGCTGACTAGAGGAGATCTATTTTTGTATGTGAGATCATGAGTTTGTGTGAGCATGTTGCAGAAAYACACAGAAGGCCCAGGTACTGCAGAGGCTGCTGTACTTCATATGGAGTCGAGGTTAGTCGATAGATATATATATATATCAAGTTTGTGAGTATCTCTGGTGAGTTTGACAGGACAACCGGTGACTGAAGTGATACTCAGAATATAAGTACAATAGAATTTTTCAATGTAAATTCTGTTATTGTACATACAGCAGTATTGTGAAATATTTTTGAGAATTATTGCAGAAGCCCCCAAAAAAGGTTTATTGTTGTTTTGTGTATATACATGTACTCAAGAGATCAATGTAATTGATAAATACTTATAATCAGTGTTTGGGAAAGGACAAATTCACTAGACTGTGGCTGTCTCCACCATTCTTCTCATACGGATACTTTATACACTTTTCAATGTGCTTTCCTGTACATATGGTGTTAGCATGATCAAAAAGTGTTTGGTGGTAAAAGTGGTTTTCCTACTCCCATAAATGCTGTGGTATGGAGTTCATTAACAATGCCAAACATTAAAGACAATCTTTTATCAGCTCTAACTTCTCCTGTTAGCCTTTTTTCTGTGCTGTGCTCAGGTGTGTTGTTCATTTTAGTGAACAGCAGAGGGCGCTGCTTCACATGGAATGATGCAGCACGACTTGAAGAGGTAGGGGTGTAAATGTTGAGCTATTTTCACTGTTCTGTGACACATTGTGCTGAAATGTGTGTGTGCATGTGTGTGCACTTGCTTTTTTTTCTTACCTTTTAGGACCTTTTCATGTAAAAGCACCTGCCTTCTCGGGACCCATGCAGTCCGGGACCAAAGCCTGGTCCTGACCCAGTAAATAACCGTTTGTGACTTAGTTCTTCGGTTTAAGGCTTAAATGTGAATTAAAATAAAGTTAGGGTTAAATATGTACTGGTAATGGCCAAYGGTTTTACRRTAGACCCCATATTTGAGGAGGGGGCTCCTTTCAAAGAGAGGGTGTCTGGACATGCAAAAATGCTTATAACTCAGAAACTGTTCAACATAGAAACTKTAGATTTCTTTTGTTGTTTAGCTCTGATGAAGCTCTATCCATCAGGCCCACCAATTATGCCCCCACCTCCCTGGAGCCCCAATTTATCTGAAAAAGGGGTGTCTGGACATGCAAAAATGGTTATTGCTCAAAAACTATTAAACAGAGGAGCTTCAGATTTCTTTTGTTTAGCTCTGATGAGGGGCTATCCATCAGGTCAATGCCCGACCTCCCCCCACCCAAAAAAGAAAAAAAAAAAAAGGAAAGAAAAAAGACCCCCACCCAAGCCACTACAATTTTGGGATACAGATAGTAGTGACATTTATTAGGGATAAAGACTTCTGAGTTCTGGTGCATTTGTGCATGCGGGGGTCATTATGTTATGTTAAGCTATGCAGTATCTAGTTATGTTCCTGGTGATTATATATAACTTAAAGTCTTGACACTTGGGCTTACAAGTAAACAAGATTAAGTTTCAAGGTTTCATTTGTTTTGCTTGAATTTTACAGAAACCTTTGATTATTTATGACAGTATGGACAGAAGGTCTATGGCATACAATATTTTGCACTTAGCCCATTTGTAAAACTATGTTTACTTTAAATTTTGAGCTTAATCAAATTTAATTTAAAGGTTCATGAGACATTTTGCAAAGACAAATAAACATGCTTGGATCATAGATATGCGAGCGTGTGCACACACACATACACAAGGTTTGTTTTTATATCCTTTTGGGGCCCGTCCATTGACTTCCATTCATTTTTTGGTAATTTTATGTCCTAACCTTGACCATTTACCCTAAAATTAACCTCACAGCTAAACTCAATTCACACTTTGGTCCTAACCTGGGCTTTGGGCCCTATAAGGAGCATCCAGTCCCCATAAGGCTGCATTTTCCTTAAAACTAGGCCCCACAATGTAGGAAAAACAAACACACATACACAAAAGGTGTTGCATGWTAGCMTGCATTTAAAKGAGAMATRTCCAGCTTTTAAATCCTTATATTTTACATTTAATCATTCAGYTGGGGCTATATAAAAGGGAAGGGCAATGCTTTGGTCTAAATTCCTTCTTTGTGTAACTTCACAAGCCCCTCTTTCACCCCTTTTCTGAGGTGTGTCTTAGATCAACTCGTTTTGAGGATGTCTCTTTAAATCCAAACGAAGCACCTCACACCCCAACCCAACCCAGCTTCTTGAGTTTGATAGAGGGGTTTGCAACTACCATATGTTGCAGCTCAAAAAATATAAATAAATAAATAAATAAATAAATAAATAAATAAATAAATAAATAAATAAATAAATAAATAAGAGATGTCAACATGACAATAAGTGCAAATCTTATTTGGCAATTCTGTTGCAAATAATTTGATGTAATAGTTCAGAAAATGTCATAGACTAAAGAAAACTGAACAGACTGAAAAATATGTCCCAAACAGAACATAAAACTTTACGCAGAGCCGGGAGAAACTATATTAACCTTTTCTGCACTCCCAGAGACTCCACTAACACAACAAAATGTATTTAACAGCTAAAACAGTTGATTTGCATGTGATGTCCCTTTTAATGATGTTCAGTGATGAAACATCTATGATGCAGGGCAGAAGAAAAAGGAAATAATACTTAGGATGGAAGGTATAAGACTGCTCCAGTAATGTGTGAATGAGGAGTTAATAACCCAGTAATCAATTAAACTGTAAATATTTAAGAAATATTGATAAACAGTTACAATGTCTGAAATAAAAATTAATGAGACATTTATTGCAGTGACCTACATTTGTCTGCTTCATCAGCTTTTCTACATCATAAATTTATTTATTAGTTGAGAACCCAAGGAAGCTAAAAAACAAGAAAAAAAACTTCACTGTAATTAGTAAAAACTAGCCTGCAACAATGCATGAAATGTTTTAGAAGACATTTATAACTGTTTATTAAGGATACRAAATGTCAAGTAAACCTGATCAAGAAACCATTTCCAAATTGTTTAAAAGAAATTTCTTATTTTAAAGTGGTTTTCTCAGTCCTTTCACTTTGCATTTCTTTTTAATTTTTTTTTCTTCTTCTTCTTTTCTCACAAACAACTCTGCTTTAAAGTCTCTGTGTTTTTGTCCCGTGGGACTCGAGGAGAGACTATCCTCTTTGTTTCCCTCTCCGCCTGCACCCATACAGGCACACGACGGAGGCTGAGCTCGCTCCTCCTCTGGGGCTGCGTCGTCTCTCTTCTGCTGTTATTGTTCGGGGCGCRGGAGAGCCATGATGAAAAGCATCTYGCACAGATTCTGTCAACAAAAATGACACGCTGCTCGAGGGGGAAGCTAAGGCAACCTGAATCTGTTGTTGCAAATATATGTATGTGTGTGTGTGTGTGTGTGTGTGTGTGTGTGTGTGTGTGTGTGTGTGTGTGTGTGTGTGTGTGTGTGTGTGTGTGTGTGTGTGTG